TTTTTTTTTTTTTTTTTTTTGATGTGTGCATGTTTTGTATAATTATATATTTGTATGCTTCAACATGATGAACGGTATGGAGAAAATAAGGTTTTAAGATAATTTTGAGCTTTTAAGATTGAATTTTGAATGACTTGAATTAATTAATAATGAAGAAAATAAGTTTAAAGATAGTAATATGGTATGATATTGGTAAAGCAAGTTTCATTACCATTAAAAACGGTTGGCAACCATTACCAAAAATTCATCAATTGGTATAGAAGTGGTAATTCTTTTTCATTACCATTTAAAACGGTTACCATCATTTAAGTGCGGTACGATTACCATACCATACCATGCCCAGCCCTACATGAGAGTATGAATTAAGAACTTTTTCTTTTTATCATAAATGTATATAAAAAATATATAAATTAATGTTAATTTTAATATAAATATTAAGTGAATGAATTTAATTAAATAATTAATAAATAAAATATTATTTTTTATTCAGTCCAAATTTAAGTACACCAGTTAAAAAAAATTCAATTTAATAATTAGTATAATATTGATGGTTGTGGATCATCAAACCGACGTACACCTCAATCACATTAATAGAACGTCCATTTTCGACTCAATTATCTCCGACACAAAATGGACATTGTTTTTGCTGCGAATTGCGTAGAGGGAACAAAATTAAATGTGTAGAAAGGTACTACTACCACCTCATGTTGATTTTACCACTCAGAAATTTTTTTAAAAGTGGTGTTTCAATTTATTTGTTAATTTTTATTTTAAATATTTAAATAAAGTATTAAAGGTTTTTTTTTTTTTCAACTTTACTTATATTAATAAGAGTAAGAAACTACTTATACAAAGATTTTATACATTATATTTACCAGAGGTAGAACCACTCATAACTGTGGATACAACCTTTTTAAATTGTATTTTGTTTCTAATTATTTGGCATTTATCCTACTTATATTTTGCTCTAAATCGACCAAATTAAGATAAATTAAGGGAGGAAAAGAATTATATAGAGTAGACTCATGTAATTCTTTAACAAGCTTGTTCTTTCCATAACGTTTTTTCTTTTTTTCTTTTTTTTTTTTTTTGCTTGTATCTTTTATTTATTTATTTATTTTTTGTATATTTGATGATAGGTTAAATAAGATTAAGAGGATATAATCCTTCCTTTTTCTTCAAATGAATCCCTCTTTTTTTTTTTTTTTTTATGTTCATGGGTTGATTACTATTTATACTCAAATAATACAAATAATCTTTTTATTATTATAAAAAAAAAAGTTTAAATTTGATATCTCTAAACTAGAGCCTTATGTTCTTAATCAATTAATTAAACCATCCTTAAGATTTTTAAAAATATCTTAAGAGTGAAGAGGGAGAATAGAGAGAAAAACAAGTAAAATTTAGAAGGTAGAGATGGAGTAAATTTAGGTCACTAAGTCACTAATCTAAAAAATAAAATCCTTCATTTAAGTCTCATTAAATTTTGTTTTAGTATTAAAAAATATATTGACCTTTTCTTAAGTTTATCGAAAAATCGCACCAAATCAAGTCATTTTGGATAAGGAATTTACATTTTGTTAGACCATTTTACTATAATCTTTTGTCCCAAGTAGGGCTTGTGCCTCACCATACGCATTAGTGTGTTTGTCCTTAAAATTTATATAAAATCTTAATTATTTGTTTCTTTATTTTTAATAATTAAAATTTATTCACACTACTGGAAAACAATGTATATTCGACAAACTTTTTTGTCGAATATAGAAGTATTTTTTTCAATTATGTCTTAATCGACAATCAAATGTGTCGTATAAAATGCAGCTGATAATGAGTATATTTGATAGCCAAAATTTTTGTCGAATATACTAATTTAATCGATAGATATTAGCTATCGAATATGCTCATTATTGATAGAATTTAGCTGACGATAAAGATTTAAAAAATTTTGAAGGTTATATTCGACAGCCATTAGTTGTCGATTAAAGCTATATAATCGACAACTAATAGCTGTCAAATATTTTTTTTTTTGGGAAATTATATTCAACAGCCTATTACTGTCAAATTTTTTTTTTTTACGATACTATATTCAACAGCATATTACCGTCGAATATACTTGGCAGAAAAATTAAAAAAAAATTGAAAAATCAACAAAATCCAAAATTAATCTTATATTATTTTCTGTTAATTTTCTATAAAAAATCAGTAAAACGAATACAATTATCAAGTTCCCCAATGATATATTTATGAAACAATTTTAACAATAATATAAAAAGTAATAGATAATCATAAATAAAATTAAAATGAGCATTAACCTTAATTATTCTAAAATAAGTTCCTGTTCCTGCCAAAAATAACAGAAAAAAATGTATATCAAGTAATAAGAATTTCAAAAAGAAAAGAAGATAAAAAGTATAAATCACAAAATTTACCTCACATTACTTCATAATTAATATATAAAAATCTGAAAAAAAAAAGAAGAAAAAAAGAAGAACTATTAGTATATAGAATAATAAGAATTCAACAAAAAAGAGAGAAGAGTGAAAAGAAAGAAGACGATGGATTGTCAAAATTAAAGGTAATTTATGAAAGTATAAAGAGGAGAGTGTAAAAGAAAAAAGAAAATAAAAGGAGAAGAAGCTCAAAGGGAGATGTTATCTACGGAAAAAAAGGAGGAGAAGGAGAAGGGAAGAGGCTAGAAGATGAAAATTAGAAGATAATGAGATGTTCTAATATCGGAGTGGTATTTATATGTCAAACATATTCGACAGAAATTCTGTCGAACATGTTTAAAATTTAGAAGACAATGAAAATTGATTTATCTAATTATTTTTTTTTTGTTGAATTTTTTTTTGGTTTTTCTTTTGAGTTTTTTTTTTTATTAATTCTCTTGTAAAATTTTTGGTTTTAAAAGTAATAAGAATCAATTTTTTTTGAGCTAATAATTAATTATAAAAATTCTAGTTTAGATAAAGATATATATATATATATGCTATTTCTTTGCAAAATATTATATTGTAATTATTTTCTTTTTACTATAGGATTGCTAAATTTTATTAATATTATATATTTTACTTATTTAAACTCAAATACTACATAACTAAAAACTAGTTTAAGTTAATAAATATATATTAACTTCTCATCCTACACACCATATATATACATATGCAATACATATATATAAACATATATAATATAAGTTTTAAATATCAATGTCTCTAAGTAGGAGGCGGTAAGTGATCAGGTCTAAATCCTCCAAAAGAAGGATTAGTAGTTTGGGGTGGTGCAAAAGAAGGATAACTAGTCTAGGGTTGTGTAGCATTCCTAGAATATTGCTGGCTAAGTAAGTGCATGTGCTCCTGGAATCTCCTCTCAAAGCTGGCCTCCATCTTTGATACTCTCTGTGATACCTCTGTATGAATACATGTGGCCACCTCTGTCTGAACTCGCTCACCCATTTCTTCCCGAACTTGAGTAAGCTTAGACTACAACTGCTAGACCTATGTCGTAAGAATCTTGGTGGTAGAAGAGGAGGCGTCACTCATGTCATACCATCGCCAAGGGATGCCATGCTCTACTGGATCCTGTAATGTAGACATCCCTCTCATCTGACCCTTTTTAGAAGGTCCAACCACCTCCTTCCAGATAAGTGGATCCCATTCTAGCCACAAATCCTTGTTTGGCTCATGCTTCTCCACATATTTTTGGTGAGCATCGTTCTGTTTCAAAAATAAAATTTTCATTAGTTAGCAATTTCAAATGATAATGGGAAATCAAATGAAAAAGAATCATTTACTGAGTACAATGGATAAAAAATTGTATCACTTTTCTTCCTTTAGGGCAATATGACATTAAAAATAAATAAAATTAATATAATAAAAGAATCAGATTCTTACATATGTCTGCTCAGCCTGTGGACATATCCAACTGGGTGGGGCATCTTCTAGAGCATCAGGTCGGCGAGTAGTGTGTCTCAACAAGTACAACTCTAAAGGTGTTGGCCTAACTCCTGATCTTTTAGCTACCTATTAAAACATCAATAAAATCAATAACATTTCCATTTTTATGGTAAACAAAAATAATTTATATATGTATATATATAAGTATATTCTACTAACTAGTCGATCCTTATGGATCCCAATAGAAAGGCATCCAGTTGTGTGGGTCACACGGTCACCCTTTGCACCTCTTTCGTGGAGTGCAATATATTTTGGACTCCTCCATTTTGCCAACACAATTTTAAAGGTATCCTTATGCATGAACTCAGGCAACTTTTTGTCTTTGACCCACGCCTTTCGAGCTCAATAAAGCTCGTCTCGAAAACGATTCCGACAATGTAATCTCTAAATTTTATACACATGAGCATCATCTTCTTCCCAATAATATGTCCTCTGCAATGAAAAACAAATAATTAAATGTTAATAATTTATTTGATTTTTCTTAAAAAAAGAGCAAAGTTTTGCTTAAATTATTTTTTTTCAGTATTAATAAATAAAATATAAAAAATATATAAAATATACTTTGTACTTCCATATCAAATGCCAAAAATAAAATGATAGCATCTAAATAAATTCTCAAAAAATACTTCATTTTATTCTATAATTTTCATACCTAGAAATTCTCTCAAGCAACCCTCTTCTTTTCCTCAGGCCAACTAGACCAAAAAGCACTGGCTCATCATACAAGTACTCCCAAATTACTGTGACAATCCTCCCAAACCTCTTATGGCTAAATGTGCCTCAGCAATTAAGGCTAAGCACCTTCCTTTGACTCGAGTCTGCAAGAACGTCATCTCCTTTATCCATGCCACATCTTGTCTTCGGGACAACATGTGATAGCTCTTCCTCCAACTGAGCATCTAACTCTGGATCAAGCATAGCAAACTCAGCATCCAACTCAGCCTCCAAATTATGCTCTTCAGTGTCCTTCTCCATTGTTGCATCATCACCAGTGTACTAGTCATCGTCCAATGGTGGCTGAGTAACAGTGGGTTGCTCTTGCTACAGCTATGTGGGAAGCTTAGTCAAACTGGAAAGATGCTACTATGCGAGAGGCTGGCTCAAGCTGGGTAGTTGCTATTGTGTAGGAACAGCCCTACGAGGGCCCCGAATAAGATGATGAAGTCAACTCTGTGGTTCTCCCTCTGGATCAACCTGTTGTCTAGAAAAAGATGCACCTCGCGTACCTCATCTCATATCTGTATACAAAAAATAATGGAAACACATCAACTTCATTTTCATGAAGAAAAGAAAAATTTTTAAAGAATAAAAATAAATATAAAAATATTCAATTAATAACTTTTAGATTACATAGAGATATAACAGCAACCAAACTCATTAAATATGTTCAATAGTTTAATACAACATGAAAAAAAAATCATACATTTGATTAAATGAGAATTTAAAAAATGAGAAAAAAATGAAAAATATAAATATCAATACACAACTAAATATATAT